CATTCTGGACAAGTAAGCCCAAAAGGTTGTCAAAATCTGCATACCATTTGACCATTAACCTCTGCTAGGTCTATTTATATTCCAAAGCATCAAATAAAAGAGGAAAGGACCTATTTATTAAAAAAAAAATTATAGCATCTCTTTTTGTGGTGGCAAAGAACTGGAAATTAAGAGGCTAGGCCCATCAATTTGGAGATGGCTAAACAAGTTGTGGTATATGATTGTAATGAACTACTATTGTTCTGTAAGAAATGATGAGTTAGGATGGTTTTAGAAAAACCTAAGAAATCTTATATGAATTAATGCAAAGTAAAGTGAGTAGGAGAGTATTGAATAGAGTAACAGCAATGTTACAACAATGATCAACTGTGAAAGACTTAGTTACTCTGATCAAGATAATCCAAGACAGTTTCATAGGACCCATGATGAAAAATGCTGTCCACCTCCAGAGACAGAACTGATGAACACATAGTGCAGATTGAAGCATACTTTTTTCCACTTGATTTTTCATGTGTGTGTGTTCTTTTGCATCAAGGCCAATGTGAAAATATGTTTTGTACATCTTCATATGTCTAATTGATATCATGCTGCTTGCCTTCTCAAGGGGTGGGGGGTAGGGAGAAGGATAGAAAAGAGGAAGAAAATTTGGGACTTAAAATTTTTTAAAATGAATGCTAAAATGTTTTTTAAATGTAATTGGAAAATATTTAATGACATAAATAAAGAGGATGACAGCTTACTTTCTCACTTACCCTACATGTATCCAGTCCATTGCCAAGTGTCAGCATTTCTACCTTCACAATATCACTTGTATATATGCCCTTCTCTCTACTTACGCAACTCCTTACCCTAGTTCAGACCATCCTTATCACCTCTTGCACAGGCTGTTGCAATAGCCGTTTAATTGTTCTCTCTGCTTCTAACCTTTCCCTCTCCCATCCATCCTTTATTCAGCTGCCTACATGATTTTGCTAAAAAATGGATTTGCCTTTGTCACCCCACTCCGCCCCTTCCATTCTCCCCTGCGCCCAACTCAACCCCCCCAATTCTACACACACACACACTCTTACCCACTCACTTCTAGTAAATTTCACTAGTTTTCTATGTTTGGCATTTAAAGCTTTTAATAACATGGTCTGTTTCTATCTTTCCCACCTTCTTATATCCACTCTACTCCATACACTTTACTATCCAACTACACTGGCTGTCTCTCATCTCTTTGTCTTTGCACTGGCTATCCCTTTGATCTGGAATGCTATTTTTTACTTCCACTTCTTAGTTTCCATGGCTTCTTTTAAGATTTCTGCTCAAGCCCTGCCTCTCCAGGCGTCCTTTCCCTGTCACCCTTGAGCTGCCTTTCATTTCATCTACTATCATCGTGTATGTACCTAGTTATTTACAAGCTCTGTTCCCCCACTCAAATGGGTGGGCAGGGACCCTTTTTTCACCATTCTTTGTATCCCCAGAACTTAGCATGGTGCTTAGAACATAGTAAGCACTTTGGTAAATGCTTTTTGACTGACCTGTTACCAAAAGACAAAAACACAAGTGACCCCTCCAAATATAGGCCAGTTATGTGTTGAAGTACTTTGTACAAAGGATTCACATCTTGCATCATCCCACCTTACCCCCAATTGATAAACATGAAGGAAAACAATATATTGGCTCTGGAACAAAAAGGATGTACAGAAGAGTCTCAGAATAAGAAAGAACAATTTATCAAATCAGTAATTATTGAACAAGCCACCCAAAAGCATTGTTTTTATGGTTTTTTTAGTGCATGTGTTGATGATTTCAAAGCTGTTGACTCAGCTCCGTCTTCATGGTTTATTCATGTCAAAATATATGAAATAGGTCATGGATTCTTAACTTGGGTTTTATAAACTTTTTTTCAATATTTTGACAATTATTTCAATATAATTTCTTTTCTTTATAATCCTACATGTGTTATGCATTTAAAAATTTCTTAGAAGATGTTCATGGCCTTCACTAGACTTCCAAAGGAATCTGTGACATTAAAAAGAAAATCAGAATCTCTGTAATAGATTTAAGTTACAGTGGAACTTTTAGAGTGGTTGAAGTTCACATAGAAAACTATTCTCTATTTAAAATAGACTAATAATAGTGATGTTGAGAAAAATTAATATAAAACCTAGTATCTTTTAGGGAGAAAGTTTACACCCATTCTGATTTTGTTCAGTTGTTCAACCTTGTCCAACTTTTCATGACTCCATGCACCATAACACTCCAATACCTTCCGTGGGGTTTTCTTGGCAAAGTGGAGTGGTTTGCCATTTCCTTCTCCAGTGGATTAAGGCAAACAGAGGTTAAATGGCTTCCTAGGGTCACACAGCTAGCAAGTGTCTGAGATTGGATTTTAATTTAGATCTTCCTGACTCCATGCCAGTACTCTATCCACTGAGCCATCTAGCTGCCTCTGGTTTTGCCTTGCATTAAACCCATTATCCTTTGTTCTGAATAGTCCCGAATGACCCCCGGACTTATGAGGCAGTTGTACCAAACCATCTTGTTAACCACTTGGTGTACATGTATGAGGTCATGTTACATGACTGCACTGAAAAACATATTAAACAGATCCTTCATCTCATGGAATCTTTTTCCCATGGCATAAAATTGTTATTTGGACTTGAAGTAAAACATTTTTAATGTATGCCAAGGAAAAAGAGAAACTGAAGGCTTCTGGCTTGAATTGTAAGGTTGAATCGAACCAACTGGTGAAGACACTATTTACAAATTCCTTGCTTACCTTAAGACACATTGAGCATAAGTCTTTTTAAGGAGAAAGTTGTGTCTGTATATGTCAGGAAACTTAACTATCATCCTTAAATCAAAACTCAAAAGGAAAAACAGATTTAAAGCAATTAACACTTATAGAATAACAGTCTTAATACAGTTTTGGAACCTTAAAATGGAAAATGAAATTTTGAAAGTATTCTGACAAAAACCAATAAAATATTAACGAGAGTGGTCCTTTCACCCTACAGCTAGTATAGAAAGATCAATACTTTCTCATAAAAAAGTAAGAGGATTCAGTCAGTCCAGTAACATTAAGCTCCTACTCTGTAGTAGACTTGGTACGAGGTACAGGGGATTTAAATATAGCTAGAACTTAGCTAGTAGAGGGGAAAGCAACATTTGCATGAATGTCTGTGTAAAAAATAAACACAAAATAAAAATAGTTTAGGGAGCTTTAGTGCTTGGGAGGATAAGCAGATGCTTTCTGTAGAGGTTAGTGTTTGAACTGAATTGTAACACAGAGATAAAAGCCCACTTGTTAAGATCAGAAAGAAGGTTGCAATTAGTGCAAATGATTCCTCTACAGTGAATACATTTTTCATATTTGTATTACATATTTCCATTGGGCTGGAACCAATTATTTTACATAACTATAACTTCAAATAGCATACATTTAAATATATGAATACATGTGACCACTCCAGGGGATTCATTATTTGCAGTAATCTGGACGTAGCTGTACCATAAAGTGAACAGGGAGGCTAGAAAAGTAACTGGGATCAGGTCGAGAAGAGCTTTAACAGCCAAATAGAATTTTTCTATTTGATCATAGAGGCTATAGGAACTAGTGAGTTTTATACTGTAGGGGAGTATGAAATCAGATCTCTGTGGAGGAAAGTAACATTGGAATCAGTATGAGGGATGGATTGGAATGGGAAGAGACTTAGGTTAGGAGACTTCTAATTAGGGATGCCATTGTGAGAGGTGATTAGGACCTGAATTCGGGTGTTGTCTATATGAATAGTGAGAAAGGTATGGATCTGAGACATGGAGGATTGATTATTAGAGCACATAAAAATGTCTTTAGAAGTTTTGAAAATACTCTTGTAACTTTTGAGCAATTAGTTAAGGCTAACAATAGGTACTTGCCTCTATATTTGTCCAATGTAGCCAAAAATGAAGTGGCTAAGATTGAAAAATGAAATCAAAAGCCTCCCTATGGGTAACATCTACATGAATATCTACTCTGCAACTAAACTTTATTTTATGTGTTGTCTCTCTCAATTAGAGTTGGAGCTTCTTGGAAGTATCCCCAGCACTTAACCTAGTTCTTGGCACAAGTACATGGAAGCACTTAATAAATGCTCATTCATTCATTCAGCAAAGAAGGATCAAGCAAATGACCAGTCATGATCTATTTATAGAAAAAGAAGAGTTTATCATGGTAGTTCAGTATGTGGCCACTGGAATTATGGAAGGTATATCCATTAGGAGTCCAGTCTTAGTGACCAATGTAGAAAATTGCTGAACGCAACTCAAGTGTTTTTTCTGTGGCTTGATAATGACAACGGCTTATTCTTACTCTTCGTAATAAAGATTTATTTGATGACAAAGGTAATAAGTTTGGTTTTTAGGCAGCTGATATTTGGTGATATGATGGGTACTAAAAACATAAGGGTAAAGCTTCTCTTTAAAAAATTTTTTAAATTTAATATTATATACTGTAGTCTTGCTGTAATATTGGGCTTGGAATTTGCTGTGGAAACAACCTCCATAGGTAAAATAAGATGCTTTTCTTCAATATATAAAGCCTCTTGGCTATATATATATATATCCAAAATGGGCCAGGCTTATAGAACAAAATTCAGGGTTCCTAACATATGTAGATGATGTTCAAAGACTTTGTTAATGTTGTCCTAGGCATGTGATTTCATGGGTGTGGCAAACTACTTCCTGCGTAGAACTCAACTAATCTGTAACTTAGAGCCTTGGAGAGTTGCTTGATGAATTGAGAGATTAAGTGACTTGCCCATGTTCACGACTGCTAGTATGAGTCAGAGGCAGGCCCTTTAGTGATACTGACTTTTAAATGAATATGAAACTATTAAACATTTTCAATTTATCTAGTGTCTTTGACTTTATATTTAATTCATTTTTGAATACTTAAAATTCATCAGGTGAAAAAATCTTAAAGTTTAAATGCAAGTATTTTTACAATGGGAAGTTTCATTTCTGTTCCATAGGTTAAGAGCAGGGTTATGTGACCGTTGTGCAGTGACTGAAGAACACATGAGGAAAAAACAACAGGAGTTTGAAAATATTCGGCAACAAAATCTTAAACTTATCACCGAACTTAGTGAGTTTTTCTTTGTTCAAAATTTTAATATCCAATGTAAGATGATACAGTATTAAAACTTGTTAGTAAATTGGTAATGTTATTTAACTATTGCCTTTTAAAATACATTTGTGAGTCTGCAGATAGAAATCAGGTGAGAGAAGGAAGGAATCCTTTACATAGAAATAGGAGAGTATATGTGTGTATGTGAGGGAGAGAGATTGACAGATTTGTATTTTGGGGAGCATGTGTGCTTTCCTCTCCATTACAAGTACCCGGGATTTGAATGCTCCAAAGCACTATCCTTTCTCATACATTGTAGTTGTTTTGTAAAAACTGAATGAAGTGTAGAGATGGAGTTACCAGATTACCTGGGTCTGCTCCCAGCATTCTCAACTATTCTCCTATTTGGGAGAAGCCAATCTAGCTGGCAAAGCATGGGGATATGTGTAGTCATTCAAATGTATTTTTCCATAGATTCAGTATTAAATGCAACAGTTAAAATAATACTAATTTTCTACTTCCAGCACATTCACTTCACATGTACTATGGACTAAAATTGGCCTTTATGGGCTAGCCTGGAAACTTATCCATCATTTATATTGTTATTTTACTGATAGGAAAATGTAATCCAAGTTTCAAACCACTGGTTTACTAATAGACTTTTGAAGCAACCTAGTCTTAAAGCTTGTATTGTTGGTATTTACTGTAATCTAACTTTTTCCACATTAGTAGCTTCATAACACAAGCAGAGATAAGTGTTGCTAACATATTCTTGCTGAACGTAGCAGAGAATTGTAGCTCCAAGATAGATCATTGTTTCAGCATTGGGTATTGATTGCTAAGTAAATTTTAATGAGTCAAATTTCTAAAAAGTAGTTAGTTCTTTGATGTACATACAATTTATTTACTGTTATTATTTACATTCATTAACAGAGAAGAGATCATTTTCAGGAAATAACATTTAACTTGTTTCTATATCATTTTTTATTTCAATTGTATTTACTTTGTGTTACTTTCTGTGATCAGATTTAGTCTGACAGTTTTCATTATAGAGTCTCAGAATTGTAAGGGACCTCGAAGGCACCTAGTTTAATTCATACCTGAACAGAAACTTCCTTTACTTTATCCCTGACAAGTGAAACCATGTCTCTGGTTTCATCTGTTATATCTATCACTAAAATTCATGTATTCTATCTGAGGAGGTAAGGCGCTTGGAAATTAAATGGAATGAGTAACCAAATGGAATGTTTTCCACTTCCTTCTTATCCTCAGCATGAATAATGATAAACTCCTTTGCACATTAAGTGCTTTTTCTTTTTGGTCCCCAAGCAGTACATAAAATCATCAGTTAATCAGTTACATAGCAGTCATGAAACTTCAGACGTAATCATCAGTACCTGGTAACAAATTAATTTTGCACAGTATAATTAATAAGTTTAACTGACATTGTCCTAACTGAAGAGTTAGGAAAAATCTAGCATAAATCAATAAACCAGCAGTTATCTAGTAATGCATATTTTCCCATGATTGCCAGTTTATTTTGTTAGATTTCAATTTCTTATATGGCTTCTTTTCCCAAAATATTTCAGTGAATGATAAGAATGCCTTACAAGAAGAAAACAAAAAACTTTCAGAGCAACTACATCAGAAAATTGAGTGAGTAACTATACTAAATTTCTTTTACAATATCTTCTTCAGTTTTGAATGTGTGTGTGTGTATGTGTATTGTGAATACATAAGGTTTATTTAGGACAGTAATTGTAGGGAGTTTATCTAGGATATAATCATTTGACTTATTAAACTACTTCAAAGATATTTTTATTCTGATGGCAGTTGTATACAATTTGTCTAATTTTGATTTCTCTAAATCAGACCATATATTATTTTATTCTAATGGGGAGATAAAAACAAGCCTTGTAATGTCTCACTGATTTAAGATATCTTGTTTATAATTCTTGAAACATTTAAGGGTTCCTTCTTTTAGAACTTAGTTTCTTTTTTTTTTAAGACCCTTAATATTTAATCATTATTTAAAGCAGTAGTCTCAAACTCACATAGGAATGGGGACCACTAAACTGAACATAAGGATCCCAGTGAAACACATTTTGACTTGGAAAACTATATGTTAACATTATCTATATTTTATTGTATTTTATTTGTTTTGTTAAATATTGCCCACTTACATTATTAATTAATTAATTTTTAATATTCAACATTCACTTTTATAAAATTAGAACTTAGTTTCCATAAAACATATAGCAATAATCATTAGGTTTGGGTCCACATTGGTTTTTCATGTGCTTTAAGGAGTTTTTTTTTTTTGGTGGGTATGCATTCCTATAATAAAATAAGTTGCTCTAAATGCTTTAGGGCAACTGATGGAGACAGTTTCTTAACTATTACAAGTGTTGCAGCTTCTAAGCCCTGGGTCTCATGGCTTTCATTAAAGTCTATACCAATTTTGTCTTAGATCAGTAGTAATAGTAGGATTTTGAGTTTTCCCGATTTTATGCTGTTTAGGCTATCATATTTTTTTCTTTTTTGGAAAAAATCTTAGACTTTATTTATAACAACAGAAACCACAAAGGCAATCAGGAAAACAACAACTACTGACATATATACTTACTTTTCTATCTGTATAAAATTTCTGTGGGGATATAATACACATATGTCAAGGGCATACTTGATAAGAATATTAGTAAGAAATAAGGGAGCTTTCACAAATGGTGTTCTACAGTAGATCCCTCTCTAATATTATGCAATTGGCCAAAAAATAGACTATAATATTCCATGGTATATATGTATGCATCCATCCATCTATCTATCTATCTATCTATCTATCTACAAGAGATAACTACTGTTTAGCCTGTTTCCTTTGGTTTTCTTTTGCCAAGAGAATTTCTTTTTTCTTTTAAATTGATTAATTAATTTTTATTTTTAACATTCATTTCCACAAGATTTTGAATTCCAAATTTTCTCCCCATCTCATCCCTTCCGTCACCCCAAGACAGCATGCATTCTGAATACCCCTTCCCCTAATCTGCCCTCTTTTCTTTCACCTCCACCACCCTTTCTCTTATTCCCTTCCCCTTCTATTTTCCTGTAGGGCAGCATAGATTTCTATATCCCATTTAGGCTATTATATTTACTATCATCATCCAACTGAAAATATTGAATGGAAATTAAAGGTGGGGAATCGTTAGTGTCAGATAAAGGAAGGAGGTAGTAAGGGAAAGATGATATTAGCAGAGGGATGGCTGAAATTGTCGTTTAAGAGTATGTGTTCAGTGGTTTTCAGTTGCGTCCAACTCTCAGTGACCCCGTTTGGGTTTTTCTTGGCAAAGATACTGGAATGATTTGCCGTTTCCTTCTCCAGCTCATTTTACAGATGATGAAATTGAGGCAAATAGAGTTAAGTGACTTGCTCAGGGTCATACAGCTAGTGTCTGAGGCCATAATTAAACTCAGAAAGATGAGTCTTCCTGACTTCAGGCCCAGCATTCTGTCCACTGCACATTTAGCTGCCCTTCAACTAGGTATAGGTAATGACATTAGCACTTCCTGATTCTCTTTCCACTGATCTGTTGCATTTGGTAGGGAACATTATTGCACATGTCTGTAACTGTGTTACATCTTGTAGTTACTGTTAAAAGTATAAGAGACGAATGGCACCTACATGTAAATATAGTAGGCAAAAGTGTGATAATTGGTATTGAGAACAAAACTAAAATTAAACTCATATAGATACTATAAAGATCTGAGTAAATGTTTTGAAAATGTCTGATACTTAACTGCTCTGTAAAAGTGTCTGTACAGGTTAGTTTGAAAGCTTATGCTTTATCTTCACTTTCAACTCACAAGTGACTTTTTTTATCCTTTAAAAATTGACTATAAAAAGTAATAAAGACACTAGGAGTTTGGATTTATGATCAATATAAATTGGATGAGCTCAGTGCAAAAGTCTATTTTTTAACCTAGGATGTCAGCAGTGTAGGAGGTTAATCTAATCCCTCTCAGTTTTTGAGTTTCTTAATGAACCTGCCTTTGTTTACCTTCTCTCAAAGCAATTTCCTTTTATTTGGCAAGTTAGAAAACGTAAAGTGCAGAGACTTACAGTAGAATTTGTCTCAAATAAAATGAGAACTAAGATTTTTGTAAACAGAGTAGTCATTTATCAAAGTTAGTTGTCTTTTCCCTTTCCCTTTTTATTCACTTTGTGCCAGAAGGACAAAGAAGGACAAAGCTAGCAAGTTGTTTGTCTGGTTTAGAAATCTCTGGTTAGAGCTAGCTTTTTCCTTCTGAGAGCCCTGCTTCTTCTAGACTGGCCTTGTCAGGGAATCAGTTTTTCCTCGTGACTCATTCATGATTCAGATAGAATTTTATGACTAACAGGCAAGTAGACTGTGATGTGATTAGTTTAAAGCTAGGTCAGGTAGACTTCATGCTCCAATAATCTATAAGCCTTTTTCATGTGATTTGTCTTGTTTTGATGTGATTTTTTTTTGTCCTAAGACAACATAATTATGGAGAAAAGATATTAAAATTAGAGAGATTTAAAGATAATAGCACTTAAAAGAATTCCTAGAAAGCTCAGAACTCTGAAAAACAGAATTATTTGTAGAATTAAAGTATAAATTCTTTACTAGAGGAAAAAATCCTTTTAGGCAGTTTTAGTCTATCTTTCATGAGAGAGATTTTAGTCTGTGCTTTTCTATAGATTTAAAAACTTAAACTTTTAGAATAGTGAAATGAAGTTTAAATGCTGTCTTATATGAAACTATATTAATAATATATCTAGAAATGAGAATTCTCATTATTTTTTTTCAGAAAATATTTTAACATTAGTCTGCGCTAAAATAGAGATTGCTTATATTATCATTAAAGCTAGCCATTCTTAGTTCTTTGGAAATTAATATTAGATCTACTTGTGGGCTTACTTATCTCCATTTATTTTATGGCCACAGACTTCAATCTAAATCTTGTTCTACCATGTCACTAGTCACAGGATGACCTGTGTATGTTTAATTGGATCAGCATAAATTCTTCACTGTTAGCCAGAAAGATAAAGATAGACTTGAGCTAGATTGCAGAGGAACTCAAATACCAGGATTAGAATTTTCTCTCTCTTTGGTAGGCAGTGGGTACTGTTGAAAATTTATGAGTAGAGGGAATGATGGGTCCTGGGAAGTTTACTAACGTACAGCGTGAGGGATGAATTAGGGAGGGGATAGATTGAAGGGAGGAAGACAAATTAGGATGCTGTTAAATATGCTAAATATGAAAAAGCAACAGCCCGAAGTGGTTGCCTGACAAATGATTGGTTTTGTTGGAGCAGTGTGAAAAAGAATGAGAGGCGAAAAGTCAGAAATGATTGGCTGGCTAGAATGATGGTAATGTTAACAACAGAAATCAAGGTGTGAAAGCAGGTAGGGGGTGGGCAGGTAGCAGGCATTATTAGATTTTCTGATATAGGCTTCTTTATATTGACTTCATGCCCTGACCCCATCAGGAAGAAACAGCATAAAGCAGCAGAGCCTGAGGAGGAAGTTATCCCTGATTCACCTATATTGACTTTCTCATTTCCTGGACTTAACCGACTGCGAAGAAAGAAGGAGAACCTACATGTCCGATATATAGAGCAAACTCATAGTGATTTGGAGCACCCTTTGTGTACAAATGGTAAGGATCTATGGAGAATTTTGTGTAATTGAATCACTTAAATCAAAACTATAATCACTTAGAATGTTTTATGTTGGAACAATAGAATGTCTTCATTATTTAGTTAACCTATGCTGTAGCTCATTGATGCCAAACTCAAATAGAAATGGATCCCTGTGGGTCACATATTGACTTAAATAACCACACATTAACATTATCTATGTTGTATTATATTTTTATTTATTTCTTTAAAGGCTTCCTAATTACATTTTAATCTGGTTTGAGCAGCACCTGGAGTTTTGTGGTCTATAAATTGGATACCTCTGCTGTAGCTGAATTTGTTAGTTTATTAGATTTAAAGTCAAATACGTTGAGGCTAGAATTTTGCTCTTAGTACTATTTGTGACCTTGGAAAATTATTTTAAAATGTATTATATATGACACTCTCCACAAAAGTATTATTCTGATGCAGCTTCCTGATGTGAAGCTGAAATGGGGCTCTTGAAGGCTGTACTACCATAACCAGCTTTTTTACTAAAGGTTCTACTTAATTGGGGAAGCTCCAACTAGAGACCCAGTGACATCCTAGGAGTCTGGTGCCTGAGAACCCAGGATCATGGGTTTAGATCTGGAAGGAACCTTAGAAAGGGACTTACAATCGCTGACATTTACATAACACATTAAGGTTTATAAAGTTCTTTGTGTAAGTTATCTCATTTAAGCCTTACAGCAACTCAGGGAACTAGGTACTGCAAGCATCCCCACTTACAGATAAGAAAATTAAGGCTTGGTTGAAGTGACTTGCTTGCTCCTAGTCCCGCAGGCAGTATGTGTTGGCAGCAAGATTTGAGCAAAGGCCTTATGACCCTAAGCTTGGCTCTTTCCACTACACCAAAACTGCCTCTCTAATGTACTGACTACAAGTCATGAAGTTAACGCTTACAAAAGCTGTGACCTCTGGTTTCAGACCTACTGTTATTTAAAGGCTCATTGTCAGAAGGTTGGTCATCACATGATTAATTTTTTAACTTAGATGAACCAGGGGAAAAAAGTACATATTGGTTTTCAATGCAGAGTGACCCATTTAGGTCCATGCAGTGACGGTGCTTAAATGGTGGAACAGAGAATGCTAAGAATAAACTCATCTAACTTTTAGAACTCTTAGTGTGTTCTTTATCAAATAACCAGTGAGTTGATGCTATAGTTGATACTAATCCACAATTCTGCTCTAAGTCTCACCCTAAATTCCACCCTATACAAAGAGCTTTTCTTAGTCCCCAATCAATACTAGTCCCTTCCCTTTCAGATGATCTTCTGTCTATTCTTTATGTATATTGTATGTACAGAGTTGTTTGCTTGTTGTCCGTCTCTTTTATTAGAATGTGAGCCCAGAGGGCAGGGCTGTGGGTTTTTACCTTTATAGCCCCAGTGCTTTGCACATAGTAAATGCTAAATAAATATTTGTTGTTATTGATATCCATGTGGATATTCTTCATATAAATGAAATAAGACCTAAGAAGTTACAGTTATTTGGAAGGACAACTTGCTGGTTCTCTAAGCAGCAAATCAGGAAATTGGCAAAGTTCATTTTTATCATAAAGCCAGAGACAATACAAATTGCATTTCATTGGTCATCTTGTTATTTCATCGATTAGGTAACTGAGTAGTGTAGTGGAGAGAGCACTGGACCAGGAGTCAGAAAGACTTGAGTTCAAATCCAACCTCAGACACTTCCTAACTGTGTGACCCTGGATAAGTCACTTGACCTCTAACTCAGTTCTCGGGAGAAGCTTTTCTGGAGTGTCATTTTCAATAGGCTTTCTTTAGTGACCATGCAGAAAGGAGGAAATAAGGATTAATTTAATAAAATGCCTACTACATGCCAGGTACTGTGTTAATAGATTTACAAATATCTCATTTGATCCCCACAAGAGTTCTGTGAAGTTGGTGCTATTATTATCACTCCCATTTTACAGTTGAAGAAACCAAGGCAAACAGTGACTTGCCCAGAGTCACACAGCTAGTATCTGAGGCCGTATTTGAGTTCAGGTCTTCTTGACTCCAGGCCCAGTGTTCTATGCTCCGTGTGTCCTAGTATGACCTACCTTCCTTAAGTGAAGTTATATAACTCTGAGTCCTAGAACAGCACAATCTCTGAAGAATCAAACTTATGGATGACCCAAACAGCAGTGATAAGCATATGTCCATGGTAGGCCTAAGTAGACCACCTCATCCCCAGTGATGACTTCATTGTGAAAGGTAGAATAGAAAAGACATTGCTTGAAGATATAGGAGGCAGTTGAATCTTCTACTGAGAATGAGAAATAGTAACAGAATTAGAAAGATTTAAGGGATTAAGTTCTGCAGTTCAAAGAGGAGGGAAATGATCCACACTAGGGAAATGAACAGATTCATCCATCTATTTATCTTGTATGTGCGTGTGTGCATTTAATCGGCTATGTGTGCATTTGTACATACTGGACATTTTATAATGTGATCAGTTCATTTATGTGTGTGTGTGTGCTTTAAATTTTATTAAAACTATTACTGTTCGTATCGTAGTAGGTGATAAATGTCACCTTTTGTTATCTGCTTTATATATTGTTCATGTCATTTTCAGTACCTGGCTCTTTATCTTCTCTAGCATACTCCTCTGCATGGGGTCGTCTCCCATGTTGCTCTGCTCTTTATCATGTGCTATGGGAAACTGCTTTGTGATGTAGTACTGGCTTTGGAATAAAAAAACTTGGTTTCAAATTCCAACTCTGTAACAGCCATTTAACACTGGGCAAGTCAACCTATCTGAGCGTCAGTTTTCTTTTCTTTGAGCTCTTGTCAGTATCAAATAAGATCATGGATAGGAAAAGTGCTTTGCAAACTCTAAAGGAGGGTGTGAATGTGAGTTTTACTATTAGGCTGAAACCCAGAATAACCAGGGAGATCTCTTGGGTAAAAGACATAATAATGTGTTTCAGAGTTATATATAAATTATTTTTTAGTTATTCACATCATGACTTATCCTCTACTTGTGCAAATAAACAAATTTAATTGTAGTTGTCTTTATAGAATTATGAATCAGGAGCAAGGACACAATAGATATTATGCTGAAAACTAATGAATTTCAGTAGGCTTTCTTCAAAGACTATGCAGAAAGTAACATGGATCTTTCTTTTAAAAATGAAGAAACTTAGGAAGTTGCTGGAATTTTTTTCACTGTATGCACTTGTGTCACCATCTAGTGGCAGACAGACAAATCACTATCCTGCACTATGACAAGGCATTATGATTTCATCTGTATAGGTATAGCTTTACAGAAGCAGAGCAGCCCCTTAACCCCTTTATAAATTGTTTAAGGGGTTGCTTTGGCCAAAAATATCATCGGCTTGTGGACAGCTTTCTGATGATGAGCTTCTCCAACCTGACTTCTCTTGACAGATCTTTTAGAACTAAATTCTTAACCTGAAGTCCATGCACAGATTTTTGGGAATCCATGAACATAGATAAGGAAAAAAAATACATCTTTATTTCCACTAACCTCTAATTCAAAATTAGCATTTCTTTCAATTATTTAAAAACATTATTCTAAGAAGTGAAACATTGGCTTTACTAGTCTGACAGAGAGGGTTCCATGACAAAACAAAGGTTAACCCCACAGTAAACATAACAGTTTGTCGGCAGGCTAATTCATAAAGATCGCCAGTTAAAACTTTCTAGTGCTTGCACACTACCAGCTTGTCCCTAGAGAATTTAAAGTCACCTCCACATTGGAATAAGGCTTTAGTGGATACAGCAGGTAGATGCTAAATTAAAAATCAAAGACGTAGTTTTTTGAAGGAACTTCAGTTGTATCAACCCTTCTTTTTAATACCAGGCAGGATTGTACTTAAACGTAACATTTTAAACTGACACAAATTTATTAGGACACTATCTGAACCATTTTAAATGCATGCAAACATGCAGTAAAGCAGATTATACCAATTTCCTTTGTTAGAAAATTCTTCTTTGGATGTATTATAAATTCCTCTGGTTCATTTTTCCCTTATTGAGGATTATTATGTAACTTCTAAAAAAAATTGCATTTGTGTGTATTCCTCCTCTTCTGAACATTTGTATTGCTATTACTATGAACCTAAAACATTTGGTTGCAAAGAATATTGTGAACATTTTGAGCCAGCTAAATTATTTGAATGAGATTAACTCTGTTCAATTCATTAAATATTTATTAAGCACCTGGTGTATTTCTCCAGTGAATCTGTATTGATTTAACTGTAAGTTTGTAATGTTGGCTTTTTTCAGTGAAACTGAATTGTTATAGGACCAAGTATTTTAAAACTGCATTCTGGTTGTAACTAAAGTTCCCCTCCTCCAGTCCCTTAAAAAATTACTTCAGAAAAAAAAAATTAAAAGAAATAACTTCAGGTATTGCTATTTTCTAGACTATGTATTCCAGTAGATGAAATAGGATTTAGGTCCTCTTTCAGATAACAATATATAAAATATTATCATGTGTACTTTTGATAAGACAAAAAATGGAAAGATATAAGCTAGTCATACAGATGAAATACTAACCTATAAGTCTCAGAAAATCAGTTTATTCAGGCAGTGATTTGTGCTTTTGCTGTGCCACCTTACAGTTTGTTATTATCAGTTATGAAATGAAGATACTGCATTTTTATAGGCTTATGAAAATTTCTCTAGTAAAACCATATTTTTAATGCATTTGACTTTTCTCATGTTTTCTTTAATCTTTTATAAAAAGTTTCATATATGTGTTTTGTTTTTCCAGAATTAGCAAAAGGTCTAAAATCTTCAACTCACCTGCAGCAAAACCACTATGAAAGTGAGATTCTTGTAGCAGACACGTGTGATCAAACATTATCACCTATGACCAGTAAGAATAACGTTGGATTATTTAATAATACAGGGTTGTTGTTGGGTTTTTTTTTGTAAACTTCTTTAAATTAGGAGAAGTCATGTTTATTTTATGTATTATCTAATTATATAGGAAACACTCAACTAATTGAATTGTTTAGAGAATGGGGTGTTTTATAGTTTTCTGATGAATTTAAATTTGACATATTAAGCACTATAACCCTTTCTTTTCCAGCTTTTGTTAAAAAGTCTAGCTAGAATATGTTTGTACATTCTCCTGCCTCACTCAATGAAGTATGCAGAATACTACTTAAAATTTCTTTTATTTTTCTGTTATTATCCTGAAGGTATTATAGAGACAGCAATAGCAAAAAAAAAAAAATCCCCTTACCTTTTAGATTTAATGTATTTGGGAGAAATTTTTATTTAAGTGACATGATAAGCATCAATAATAACTATTAAATAGGCCTGTAAAAGATTTGTATGAATCTATATTGGGCTCCAAAAACTGCTTTAAAAAAATAAATCTTGGGTAGCAAGTGTCTTATTAATCTTCTCCTAAAATCAGAATGCATTAAAAAAATTCAAGTTCATTGTTTTTTAGTTTATTGTAATTATTAGATCATGTTGCCTTGTAATTTTTTCATTCAAATAGGAGATTTAAAGTGTTTGGAAATGGTCATTTAAACATTTCTCTTGATGTATCATTTGTAGTCTCAGTTTACTTAGCAAACTTTTTTAAATAATAAAAACAAACTTGTGATCAACTCATTTCTAAGTTATTCCAAATTAGTAGTCTGTATTAATGAGGCTTGATTCTCTCCAGTGGTCTCTCTAAAGTGATTACATAGCTCCTTGGTGGGAGTGGGGAGAACCACAGCCTAATTTGAAAGGTCAGCCAGGTAGAAGGTGAGAAGATAAATCATTTCTCATCCTTGCTTATAATAGCCAACCATGAAGCTTGTTTCCAATGTACCCATGCCCACCCTATCCCTACATTCTTCCCTCTTCCTTCTCTTCCTGTACAACCTCTCAGCATCTCTCCCTGAGTAGCTTGTTGGCCCCACAGGTCTTTTATAACCTAAACTAGTTAGGCGTCTCTTCAGATACCACTGGGAAGATCTGGACCTATTCTCTATCCCTCAGATCACCTCATTGCTGAGGCAGGAGTCCTTTAGAAAGCAGTCTCTGTTCTTTGGGGCAATAATCAGTAAGATCCATTCCTTCTCATTTTCATTTTGAGGATGGGACAGAGTAAGTAGATAAATTACATTATCTTTCCACCCAAATCCATGGATCTTCCAAACTTCTCTGTTATTATCAAGGACTTTTGAATAATTATTTATAAAATATGCCAGTATATAGTGTAAGGCAGCTATATTATTTGAATATCCTTTATTCAGTTACATATCCGTAGTCAATAAGGAAAGACTTTCAACCTTCAAGAGTATTTCTCCATTTGGAACAAATCTCTGATTATAAAGAGGTCAAGGGAAGGAAGCTCCTTTTATGGTCAGCTTGTGTTCTTATAAATTTGACTTAGTTCTCTATGTATTTGAGAAATTGGGTCTTTATCAGAGATGCTTGCTGTAAAGATTGTTTCCTAGCTTTCTGCTTTCCTTCTAATCTTGGTTGTATTGGTTTTTGTGCAAAAGCTTTTTAGTTTAATGTAATCAAAATCATCTATTTTGCATTTCATAATGCTGTATCTCTTTTTAGTCATGTCTTCCTTTTTCTATAGATCTGACAGTTAGACTAATATCTTGCTCTTCTCATTTGCTTGTGCCATGCAGGAGTGGGGAACCTACGGTCTCAAAGCCACATGTGGCCCTCTAGGTCCTCAAGTGCAGCCCTTTGACTGAATTCAAAGGATCCCCACCCCTGGCTTATGGTGTCACACCCTTCATGTCTAGATCATGTACCCATTTTTTCCCAGCAGTTTTTGTCAAGTAGTGAGTTCTTATCCCAAAGCCTGGAATCTTTAGGTTTATCAAACACTAGATTACTGTTGAGTTTACTGTGTCTTGTGTACCTAATCTATTCCACTGATTTACCACTCTTTTTCTTAGCTAGTACCAAATAGTTTTGATGATTACTTCTTTATAATATAGTTTGAGATCTGGTATTGCTAGGCCCTTTCCTTTGTATTTTTTTTTCATTAATTCCCTTGATATTCTTGACCTCTTGTTCTTCCAGATGAATATTGTTGTTTTTTCTAGCTCTATAAAATAAAATTTTTGGTAGTTTGATGTGGCATTGAATAAGTAAATTAATTTAGATAGAATTGTCATTTTTATTATATTGGCTCAGGCTACCCATGGGCAATTGATATTTTTCCAGTTGTTTAGATCTAACTTTATTTGTGTGAAAAGTGTTTTGTAATTGTGTTCCTATAGCTCCTGGGTTTTTCTTGGCAAGTAGTCTCCTGAGTATTTTATATTGTTTACAGTTATTTTAATTGGAATTTCTCTTTCTCTTTCTTGCTGTTGGGCTTTGTTGGTAGTATATAGAAATGCTGATGATTTATGTGGGTTTATCTTATGTCCTGCAGCTTTACTAAAGTTGTTAATTATTTCAAGCAGTTTTTTAGCTGGTTCTCTCGGATTTTCTAAGCATACCATCGTATCATCTGTGGAGAATGATAGTTTTGTTTCCTCATTGCTTATTCTAATTTCTTTGATTTCTTTTTCTTTTCTTATTCCTATAACTAGCATTTCTAGTACTGTATGAAATAATACTGATGATAATGGACATCTTTGCTTCACCCCTGATTGTGTTGGGAAGGCTTCTAGCTTATCCCCATTACATATACTGCTTGCTGATAGTTTTAGATTGATACTGCTTATCTTTTAAAAGAATGCTCCTTTTTTATTCCTATGCTTTCTAGTGTTTTTAATTGGAATGGGTGCTGCATTTTGTCAGAAACTTTTCCAGCATCTGTTCAAATAATCATTATTTCTGTTGGTTTTGTTATTGATATGGTCAATTATGTTGATAGTTTTCCTAATATTGAACCAACCCTGCATTCCTGTTATAAATCCTACCTGGTCATAGTGTATAATCCTTGTTATTGCTGTAATTGCCTTACTAGTATTTTGTTCAAAGTTTTTACATTGATATTCATTAGGGAAATTGGTCTATAATTTTCTTTCTCTGTATTAGTTTTTCCTGGTTTAGGTATGAGCAACGTACTTGTGTCATAAAAGGAGTTTGGTAGGACTCCTTCACCTATTTTTCAAAATAGTTTATATGTTATTGGAATTAATTATTCTTTAAATGTTTGGTAGACTTCACTTGTCAACCCATCTGGCCCTGGGGATTTTTCCTTAGGGAGTTCATTGATGGCTTGTTTTATTTCTTTTTTTAAGATGGGGTTATTTACTTTATTTCTTGATCTGCTAAATCTGGCTAATTTATATTTTTGTAAATATTCATTGATTTCACTCAGGTTATCAGATTTATTGGCATATAATTGGACAAAATATTTCTTAATGATTGCTTTAATTTCTTCTTCATTAGTGGTGATTTCATCCTTCCATTTTTGATACTAAATACTTGGTTTTCTTCTTTTTTTAATCAAATTAACAAATGACTTATCTATTTTATTGGTTTTTTCATAAAAACCAGCTCCTAGTCTTATTTACTATCTCAAAAGTTTTGTTTATTTTTACTTCCAGTTTTATCAATCTCACCTTTGATTTTTCAGAATTTCCAATTTGGTGTTCAATTGGGGATTTTTAATTTATTCTTCTAGTTTTTTTAGTTGCATGCCCAATTCATTGATCTGTTCTTTCTCTGTTTTGTTGACATGAGAATTTAGGAAAATCAAATTTCCCCTAAGTACTGCTTTGGCTGTATCCCATAAATTTTGGGATGTTGTGTCACTGTCATCATTCTCTTCAATGAAATTATTGGTTGTTCCTATAATTTTGTTGACTCACTTATTTTTCAGGATTAGATTATTTAGTTTCCAATTTAGTTTCCAATTATTTAGTTTCCAATTTAATCTATCTTTCCACTGTCCTTTATTGAATGTAATTTTTATTGCATTATGATCGGAAAAGGATGCATATTTTTGCTTTTCTACATTTGATTTTGAGGTTTTTATGCTCCAATACATGGTCAGTTTTTGTGCAGGTACCATGTGCTGCTGAGAAAAAGGTATATTCCTTTCTGTTTCCATTCAGTTTTCTCCAAAGGTCTGTCATATCTAACTTTTCTAATCTTCTATTCACCTCCTTATTTTCTTTCTTGTTTATTTTTTGGTTGGATTTATCAAGTTCTGAGAGGAGACAGTTGTCAGTCCCCTACTATTATACTTTTCTCTATTTCTTCCTGTAACTCACTTAACTTCTCTTTTAAGAATATAGATGCTATATAGATGTATATATGTTTAGTATTGATATTACTTCATTGCCTATGGTACCTTTTAGCAAGATATAGTTTCCTTCTTTATCTCTTTTAATCAGGTCTGTTTTTTGCTTTTGCTCTGAGATCAGGATTGCTATCCTTGCTTTTTTTACTTCAACTAGAGCATAATAGATTCTGCTCCAGCCCCTTACTTTTGCTCTGTGTATGTTTCTCTGCTTCAAGTGTGTTTCTTGTGAACAACATATTGTAGGATTCTGGTTTTTAATCTACTGTGCTATCCACTTCTCTTTTATGGGAGAGCATATCCCATTCATTTTCACAGTTGTGATTACTATGTATTTCCCTCCATCCTGTTTTTCCTCCTGTTTTTCTTCTGTCTCCTTTCACCCTTTCCCTTCTCGACAGTGTTTTGCTTATGTCTACCACCTACCCCAGTATGCTCTCTCTTCTGTCATTTTCCCCCTCCCCTCCTTTATTTAAACTTCTTTCCTCCTACTTTCCTATCAGGTAAGATAGATTTCTATATTCAACTGATTGTGTATATTATTCCTCTTTGAGCCAATACTGATGAGAGTGAGGTTCAAGCGATGCCTGTCACCCACCCTCCCAACTTTCCCTCCACCCTAATAGGTTTTTTGCACCTCTTCATGGGGAATAATATACCCCATTCTACCTCTCCCTTCCTTCTGTCCCCAGCATACTCCTCTTTCTTATCCCTTAATTATTTTTTATGTCATTCTCTCAAATTCACCTTATATCTGTACCCTCTGTCTACGTTTATTCCTTCTAGGTGTACTATCAGTGGTACAATTTTTAAGAATTGCAAGTATCATCTTCCCATGTAGGCATGTAAATAGTTCAGCTGCATTGAATCCTCTATGTTTTCTTTTCCCTTTTTCCTTTGTTAAGCTTCTCTTGGGTTTTGAGATAACGTTTTTTGTTCAGTTCTGGTCTTCTCCTTATGAAAGCTTGAAATCCTTCTATTTCACTGAATGACCATTTTTTCCCTTGAAGTATTATACTTAATTTCCTCAGGTAGGTGATTCTTGGCTGTAATCCTAACTCCTTTGCCTTCCAGACTATCATGTTCCATGACCTCTGATCCTTTAATGTTGTACCTGTTAAGTCCTGTGTGATCCTCATTGTGATTCCCCAATATTTGAATTGTTTCTTTTTGGCTACTTGCAGTGTTTTTTCCTTGACCTGTTAGTTCTGAAATTTGGCTATAATGTTGTTTGGAGTTTTTATTTTGGGATCTCTTTCCTGAGATAATTGGTGGATTCTTCTATTGCCTGTTTTGCCTTCTGGTTCCAGGATATCAGGGCAGTTTTCCTTGATAATTTTTTGAAAGATGCTGTCCAGGTCTGCCTTTTAATTATGGCATTCAGGTAGTCTATTGATTCTGGTATTGTCTCTCCTGGATCTGTTGTCCAGGTCAGTTGTTTTTCCAGTGAGGTATTTTACATTTTCTTCTCTTTTTTCATTCTTTTGAATGTTTGATTGATTCTTGATTTCTCATAGAATCATTAGCTTCCACTTGCCCAATTATAACTTTTAAGGAGTTATTTTCCTCAGTTAGCTTTTATATTTCCTTTTCCATTGGCCACTTGTACTTTTTGAATAGTTGTTTTCTTCAGTGGATTTCTGTATCTCCTTTTCCATTTGTCCAGTTGTACTTTTTAAGCAACTGCTTTCTTTTTTCTAAACTATTGACTCTTTTCTCATAATTCTCTTGTATCATGTTCATTTCTTTTCCCAATTTTTCTTTTACCTCTCTTATATGATTTTTAAGCTTCTTTTTGAGCTCTTCCAATGAGTTCTTTCTGGGCTTGAGACTACTTCCTATTTTCCTTTGAGACTTTTCCCATAGGTGTTTTGACATTGTTGTCTTCTTCTGAGTTTGTGTCTTCATCTTCCCTGTCACTATAATAAATTTCTATGGTCAGATTCTTTTTTGTTTGTTTTTGCTTATCTTTTTTGGCCTCTTTCCTGTCTTTTAAATTTGAGCTTTCCTCCTGGAGTGGAAGGGACACTGTCTCAGGCTTCTTTTTTTTTTTGGTTAGGCAATGGGGTTAAGTGACTTGCCCAGTGTCACACAGCTAGTGAGTGTTATGTGTCTGAGGCCAGATTTGAACTCAGGTCCGCCTGAATCCAGGGCTGGAGCTCTATCTACTGCGCCACCTATCTGCCCCTCTCAGGCTTCTTGTACTAGAGGCTGCAGGCCCTAGTAGTTTATTTACTTCATGATTCACTGAAGTTTCCCTGAGGCCCACAGGAGATCCTTGTGTCAGGTGTTGCACTAAGGGGGTGGGGTGGGGAGTGACTGGCACTACTAGAAACCATAGGGATCTGGCAACTTACCTGGTGCTGAGCCAGGGTCCTAGTGCCTGGTGTCTGGCGTGAGGTAATGCTAGTGGAGTATTTCTGAGTTTACCTGGGGCTACACTGAAGCATGTGACAGTCTGGTCACTGGAAGCTGCCTGTTTGCGCAGGGGTTCTCAGAACTTGATGCTGAGGTACATGGGGATCCTGATGTTGGCATTTGCCTGCTCCATCACACTGGGGTTCAGATTCCCCCATTGGTTTGCTCAGGTGGGGCTTGCTGGCTACCTGGAACGCTTCCTGCTTGGACTGTGTTCCCCTTTTACCCAAGTGAGACAGACCCTTTCTGCCAATCTTTCAAGTTTCTTAGGTTAAAAGATCGTTTTACCCCCACTTTTTGCTGCTTATTCTTTTCCAGGATTTGTTTTCAGGCTCTATTTTATGTTTGTTTGGAGGTGAATATGGAAGAGTTACTATGATTTACTGGTTACTCCGCCATCTTGGCTCCTGGAAGTCTTTGGAGGAGTTTTTAAATGTGCTTGGTTACCAGTGCAGCACTGAAACTGTCCATCTATTATCCTTCACCCTCCTGATACCCACCTGCTTTTTAGATCACCACCATAACTTCTTTAGAAATTGTGTGCATAGTTTTGTGTTTTTAAACTTTTTGTTTCAAAGAATAGCTTGAATGCTTGAAAGTTCTGGACAATTTCTCAGCTTATTCTCTTCCTTCTTTTCAGTTCTGTATGTAATTCATTGTCCAACTGCAGCATCTGAAATCTACTTAAAGATATGCTCAATGAGCTGCGTATCCAATAACATTTCGCATTCTGAGCAATAAATATTTTTCATCCATTTGGTTTTTCTTTGGAATAGTCTTCAACTGAATTAAATGGTCACATTGAATTGAAATGAATTGAAACTGCTCATTTAGCACTGGAAGGAAATAGATTCATTTAAGTTGACACTTTAGATTGCAAAAGGAAAAAGGAATTCACTATTTTGAAGAATTTAGGGGTTTTACATAAGAGGCTTTAAGTTGTGATTTGATAGCAATCTTGTTTGATGAATGAGATAAGCTTATCTAGTATAAGCTATATAGTCTTATTTTAGGATAATTTTGCATTAAACATCAACTCCCTCTCCCACCCCTAACTTTTTAAAAACAAACTTTATGCCCTTTTATGAACTGCCGTCTTGTGCATAGTAATCTTCATGTTAACCTCTCTACTAGGATGTGCTCTACTTTTATAATAACATAACTATATATTCACTTGCATATGCTTTTTTTAAAACTTAGATATCCAGGATACCAACAGTTATCCCATCGAGAAATCATCTTTTAACTTAGCTGCAGTTGTTGCTGAAACACTTGGACTTGGTGTTCAAGAAGAATCTGTAAGTAATATATCTGTCTTGATAAGTATGATGACTAAATTGAGCTTAGAGAAAAATATTTTTCCAAGTCCTAAGACCTTCATGTTTAGGCCAATAATGCATCAAAGGACTCAACCATCACCCAGATTTTGGTCCAGCAATGAAGTGATGAGGGCCTGCACCAGGGTGGTGGCAATATCAGGAGAAAAAGGAATGTGCGGGAGAGAGGTTAGGAAGGTGAAATATTAGGAATATAAAATTGATAGGACTTCAACACCTACTTGTATATCAGGGTGATTGACCTGTCAGAGGCTACAGAGAAGTCAAGAAGGATGTGGATTGAGAAAAGACATTTAATTTGGGAATTAAGAGATCATTGGTTACTTTGTAGAATGCAGTTTTAGTTGAATTATGAGTGAAGAAGAGAATGAGAGGAAACTAAGTAGAAGCACCTATTGTAGATGGTCTTCTCAAGGAGTTTAGTCACAAAAGGAAGGAGAGATAGAGGAGATAACTGGAGTTAAAGGATGATAGCAGGGATGGGTGGATCAAGTGAGCATATTTTTGAAAATAGGGAAAACATGGGCATTTTATAGACAAAAGAGAAGTAGTTAGTAGGATGGGAAAGATGGGTGATTAGCGAGAAAGTAGAAATGAGAGGGAGGGCAGTCTGCTAGAGAAGATTGAGTGGAATGGGATCACTTGGGCATGTAGAGGCTTGGTAATGAGAAGGGCCACCTCTTCATGTGATGGAGTCATTCAAAGGGGTGATCAAGGAGGTAATACCAGAAAGCATTGAGATTATGTAGCATAAATTTTTAATGGATCCAGCTGGCTTAGTTTCATGATTTTCTCCAACTTTGTTCAGTAGCATGTGAGTAAGAGTAAAGGCAGCAGATGGTGAGAGTAATCCAAGGCTGGAGTTTGGCAAGGCAAGATGTTAAAATAGGGTGAAGGGTTACAGGATCTGTCGGAGAAAAGAGGGCTGACTAGATTTGAACTGTTTCACCAACAGGTTAAGATTTGCTAGGATAAAGAGTGTAGCCAGCAGGGGTCATCAATGGCTTGGGAAAGGACTGAAGGGCAGAAGGACCAGAGGTAGCAGTGAGGTCAGAAAAACAGAATTTGGAGCCAGAAAGAAGTAGAGGCAGATTAACAACCGAGTATGATCAGATAAAGAAATTTCAGAGTTCTTGAACATGAAAGTAGAACCCTTGTGAGTGATAGCAGTATGACCATCTTGGTGTGTAGCTGTAATGGAGTAGAGTGCAAGTAGGTCATGAAAAATAAGTAAGTTGAGGAATTGGCAGTTTAGGGTATTTGAGAAGTATCATTATGTCCATTAAAGTCCCCTCATGTGAGGAGCAGGAGTTGAGGAGGAGATTGAAATTGTTGAGGAAGGAAGGAGAGTATCTTATTGGTCGCTAGACAACGGCCCTCAGAATCTTGACTGAGTAATAAATCTGGATTGCATGAACTTCAAAGGAGGAGAGATTACTGAGTCGTTGAGGGAGAGCCTGGAAATGGTGATAGGGAGGAGGGGTATTCCAGCATCTCCACCTCAGCCATTGAGATACGGATGTGAGTGAAAGTACAACCTGTGCTAAAAGAGTAGCCAAGGAAGCTGTGTCATAAGGACAGAGCCAGGTCTCAGTGAGTACAAGAAGATAAGTGAATGAGAAAGAAAAGGTATCAGATGAAACTAATGTGTTTTCTATGAAGCAGGCATTCCAGAGAGCATGGTGGAAGAAGTGAGTAACTTTAGAGTGGAACGTTAGGGGAGGAGGGTTTTGTTTGAGGTGGCTAAACATAAGGGAGTAGACAGTGGAGGATGAAGAATATGGTTTGAACAGTAGCATTTAGGAGTTCAGAGTCACTGGAATGGGGAAGTATGATAGGTATGTTATTCATTAAGGAGTGAGTTCAGGTAGGTTATCATAAGAGTTGTAGGAGCCCTAGAATGCAAGGAATGGTTTGTTTGTGAGGCAGGTAAAGGCAAGGCAATGCCTGTGGAGCTGACTGGGTCTTTTCAGTGTTCTTTAGACTGAGGATAACTTAGTCGCTCATTACTTAGAGTTGCCAGAGATGGTGGTGTCCACTACAACTTTTCTTGTCCCAGTAAACACTAGATCTGAACCTTCAAGGTTTGACCAAACCATTCTTTTGGTCACTGGGTGGTTGGGGTTTGAGAGGAGGTAGAATTTGCCTTAATTTAGTTTCTTTTTTCAAGCAGGTTTCCCCCCACTCCCCCCATATTGTTTTCCATGGGAGTAGAAAGATTTGGGTTCTTCAGGCTGAGTGAAGAGTTTTCTTTCAATGTAGGATGATATTATATTGCTTTATATAATAAAGTTGCGTACCTGTAGAGTTGTATACAAATTAAAATTTTTTTAAAATGAGTAACATTTTCCCATTGAAATATTTCTTCATTATACTTTGAATTCATCCCAAATTTAACTTTAAATTTATTTTCACTATTTAGTAAATTTTGATTTTTGTATATTATCTTATATTGAAATATATCTCTATAAAATTGTCAACTTTGAGTTTCATTTTTTGACTTCTTATTTTATTACAATTACACATACTATATATAAGATAACTATGTATGTATCACATATGCATTTTCTTTTGAAGGACTCTCAAAGTGCTTTGAATCCTCTCAATGAAGAGCTGCATCATCAAGAGGAAGCAGAGCCAAAGAAACAACCTTTTCAGGAATTCACAGAAAATAATGAAGACGGTTTGAGGTGATTTGGGGGGATTTTTTAAAAAATCCAGAAATAAAGTGTCTTTAAAGCAGAGATTACATGATCATTGATTTAGAATTGTAATGGTTCTTATTGGTCATCTGGTAGAATCCCTTCATTTCATAGATGTGAGAAGTTCAGTGTTAGCAGTGTAGTTTGTAGAATTTTTGTAATGGATGTTCTCTCCAGTTTTTTTTTATATTGTACTTTTTGCATTATACAAGGAGTGAGAGAGTAATTTAAGTAATATATTTACTTCTGTCAGGACTTGAAATTCACTATTCCCAGGTAACTTTTTCCTTCTTTTAAAGGATCCAATCTTTCTTATCAGAAAAGCAATCTATATTTTCAAATAATGTGCCAAAATTGAATTATCTCCCACCTCAGATTTTGCCATACCACTTTATAACTGTACTTTCAATGATACTTTTTATTGTTGTTACATGCATACATATCTTCCCTACTAGACTCTAACTTTAATGAGAAGAAAGACTATATTTTATGCTTCTTCTTATCCCTAGTACTTGCTTTGCATCTATAAAGTAATTAGATTTTTGTTAGATAAATGAATGAGTATTACCTAGGCATAGTAGAGAAAGCAGGATAGAGTCAGGGATTTTTGGAATCCCATATCTTGAATTTGCTAGCTTTATGAATATAGACAAGTAACTTACTCTCTTAGCCTCAGTTTACTCATCTGCAAAATGAGACAAATATAATAGGACTTACCTTCTAGGGTTTTTGTGATAATTGGATGAGATAAATATATGTAAAATGCTTTCCAAGCCTCAAACCTCTCAATAAGTTTATTCTTATTATTAATGGGCTTAATTTAAGGCCATGGGTTTTTGTTGTTTGTTTTTTGCCCATTTGGCTGATAAAAAGTACAATGTACCTACCCAGTCACTGCATTCCACCTATACTGTTATTAATTCTTCTCTTAGCATCCTAGACTACTACTAGTAGGTAAACAAGAAATCACTGTCAAAGATTTTGGATTGACACGCTTTTTGATAGATAAACTATTGTTTTTGGTCACTGTCTTTTCATCATAATTTTAGCATGTTTCGCTGTCCAGATCATTGCTTGTTTCCTCAGTAATAGGCAGAACATTTCACTACTTCTCTTTCAGATTTTCAAATTCCTCTCCAAAGACTCCACCAGAAGTTGACTGGGCTGCTCGGGCATCTTCTCCTGTTTTTGGGGCTGCTTCTAATGTGAAAAATGGCTTAGGCTTGAATACAAGCTCATCCCCTTCTCTTTTAGAGGCTGGGAAAAAATCCCATCTAAAAACAAATTCCCTCAGCAATACTTCTCATTCTAGACCACAGAAACCTAGATCAAAATCTGAAGACACCAGCCATATTACATGCCTTAATCTTGGTTCTCAAGAAAGCACTGTTATTGATCATTCTTCTTCCATTAAGCAAATGCTTGTAAGAAAGAGTACAAATGAATCAATAAGTACACAAGTTGAGACTGATAATCCAAAAGATGAAGCTACTGAAAAAAATGATCTTTTTGTGCCATTGAAACCACTGGGAGGCAGAGGAGCCAAAAGGAAGAAGACTGAAGAAAGTGAACATTGCTTCCAGACCTCTTTTGATAAAGAAAATGCTTTTCCTTTCCGAGGAGATAGTCATCCTTCCATCAATGGAGACTCTGTAATGGATAAGCCCCTGGATCTATCCGATCGATTTTCTGCTATCCACCGTCAAGAAAAAAGCCAAGGAAACGAGGTTTGTAAAAACCAGTTTAGGCAAATGGCTCTTCAGGATGCTTTGAAACCCATTCTGAAGGGCTCTTCCTCTAGGCGCACAAACTTAAATGGGAGCTACATAATAAGCAGAGAGTCCCACAAGGACCTCTGTTTCCAGGAATATATCTTCCTGTCCCACAGTAAATCATCCCCAGGTCAAAAAATACAGCTACAAATAAAAGAAGACAATCCTACCTTCAGAGTCTCTCTGCTTCCCCATAAAAGTCTGGAGTCAGAGTGTCTTTTTGATGACCTGAAGATATATTGTTGTGCTAGGTGTACAGGGATTTGTTTTCTAATTAATGTTTGTGAATTCCTCTCAGGTGCTAATACTGTCATCTGTTCTTAGGTTACTGGTGGTTATGAGCCAATAAAAATGAAAGGCAGGATGGGACATGGAGATTGTGAACTTGCTTCAGTTCTTCAGTTAAATCCTTGTAGAGTAACTAAAGCACAGGCTTTACGAGATAATCAAGGTATGTGTATGTTATCCACAGTACATTTTCAGTTTCTTTTTAAAAAAATCATTAAAATGAATGTAAATTTTGACTGAAATTACAAGAAACTTTTATTAAATGCATTTGCATCTCATTTCTTACATTTGAAATGTTAGTTTTTTTAATGATATTTTGTTTCGGTGCAAGACTCTTCCTAACAAAATCCACCACAAAGTACATTTCCTGAAAATACTGAAACAAAGTTGCCTAATAGCTTGATGAAATGTTATATTGCATACTTGTTCATTTTCACCAATATCATCCTTTCCATGATATTCCTGTTCCTTTCTTATACTTTCTCAATTGAACAACAAGCAGTTTTTGAGCACCTACTAAGTGCCTCAGTAGGAACAGAATAGTTCCCAGCCTGAGGAAACTTACATTCTTTTCAGAGAAAGAGAATCTAAACTACTGATTAAATGGAAAATATATGTAAAGGGACTTGGAGGGCAGGAGGGAGCACTAGCAACTTGGGAATTCCAGCTAGGCATCCTTTATGAGCTGGCACTTGATGAAGAGGGAGTGTGTTCCAGTCATGGGTGACAGTCTGCAAAAAAACATGGTGGTAGAAGGATGGAATGTTGTTTGGGGAAAACAACAAAAAGGCAGGTTCATCTGGAATGTACATGAAGTAAAGGTAGACTGAAGCCAAATTGTGAAGGGCTGCAGAAGCCAAATGAAAGAATGGGTATTTTATTCTAGAGACAAAAAGGAGACACAGGAGTTTCTTGAGCAGTAGGAAGAAACGGGTAGACCTGTGACTCAACCTGTGTCAAGTCTCCCTTTGCCACCTAATTTTAGTAATTTCTTCTAGTAAGAGAGAGGTTGAACTAGATTCTCCACGGTAAAAAAATTCAGGACACTAAGATAGATTCTGGCTTTACCAAACTCCAGTCTATAGTTTAGCTCTTTAGGGTGAGGTTACTATGTTACCAACTTTACACACATATATTAAATATGCTGGTTTTAAAAAGTGATATAAATTCATAATTCAGGTTTTAATTATGAATTTTTTCTTCTGTAAGATAAATCATCCTTAGAAAATATCCAGTGGAGTATAGATCCAGCAGCAGATCTTTCTCAATATAAAATGGATATTACTGTAATAGATACAAAGGTAAGTTAATGAAATAAAGGCACGTTTGCTTCTTTCTAGTCTATTAGAAAGAGTACTCATCTCTACAACTGTGATTCTTCTACTGATTGACTGTGTGACCATGTAAACCCACTTTCTCATTCCCAAGGGTTCAGTTATCATCTCTATGTAAGTATCTCTGTCTGTATATCCAGTCCTAATTTTTTTCAGAGCTACAATCCCATATTAATATCCACCTGATAGATATGTATATCTAGATTGTCATAACGAGCATTTCTAAAACAGAATTGATTTGTTTTCTGTTGAGGGCACCAACATCTTTCTAGTCACTTATTTTTGCACATTTGGAGTCGTCCTTGGCTCTTCGCATTCCCTCTTCTTCCTCCTCCCACATGCCCTATCCAGTCAGAAGCCAGCTCTCATCAGTTCTACTTTTCACACACAGTTCTACAATATCTCCCACCTCTATCCCCTTCTCTCCATAATTCAGTTTATTATCACCTTACATACACCATTCAAACACCCTCCTAGCTGAACTCCTTGCTTCTAGATTTTGCTCCTTTCAGTCCATCTCCTACACAGCTGCCAAAATAATTTGTGATGATATCACTCTGCTTAAGAACTTTTGATGGCCTTTGTCTCTTTGATAAAATAACTTTTATAAAATAAAAACTCTTTTATTTGACATTTAAATTTTTAATACTTTGATTCCACCCTTGGCTTTCAGAATTGGGGACTCTGTATGGTATAATGAAAAGAGTACTGTCTCTGGAGTTAGGGGACCTGGGTTCAAATGTTGCCTCTGATGATTACCTGTATCACCTTGCACAAACCACGTAACATCCTTAGGCCTCAGTTTCCTCATCTGTAACATGGAATTAGATGGCTCATGAAGTAGTGTCTTTCAGCTATACATCTTTGATCCTAGGACTTATTTTTGCCTTACTGTCCTTCATGTACTCTGTTCCAACCAAACTTGTTTACTTGACACTTTGGGACCTTGGAACTGAGGAGCAGAGAGGTTAAGGACTGAGAATTGAACCTAGGTCCTCTGATTTCAAATCCAGCACCCTCTTCTATTCCAAAATGCGATTGCTAAAACTTGGTATTTCTTCCCCTACTTCCAACTGCTTTTGTGCAAGCTATCCCTCATGCCTGGCATGCATCTCTTAAACCATTTCTTAGAATCTTTATCTTCCTTCAAGACCCAATTCAGTGTCATAACCTGTGGGAAAACTTTCCTGCTTACCCTAGTTCAAGGGTTCTTAACCTGGGTCCATGAACTTTTTTTTAGACTTTTTGATAACCACCTTTCAGTATAATTCTTTTGAAATCCTATTTTATTTTATGCATTGAAAAACATTAATCTGAGAACAACTCCATCAGTTTCACCAAATGACCAAAGGGGCCTATAACACAATAAGATTAAAAACCCCTACCCTCCTTATTAATGCTCTCTCCTCAAATTCTCTTACCTACTTATCTGAGTACATGTTCTCTTCACCAGTAGAGTGAAGTGCTTTTTGAAGCAGGGATAGTTTTTCATTTTTTGTCTTTATATCCTCATCATCTATAATACAGAACAAATTTAATAAATATTTGTTCATTGAATGAATTTCTTAAATGGGAAAATGACCTAATTCGTGCTATTTCTATGAGTTAAACTGGGTGACATGTGAAAGAATAATTTCAATGTGTTAAGAATCCCTGTGTTGAAAAAGCATCAATGTAGCTTTGAAGTGAAATATTGGCATAGAGTCCTTGAGTTGGAGTCAAGAGCCCTGAGCTTATATCCCACCTAAGACATCACTTATGTCACCTTGGGGAAGTCACTACCATTTCAGGATTGTAGTTGCCTCATTTCGTAGGGTTATGGATTTAAAGCTGGCAAAGATTATCTGACAGACATCATCGAGTTCAACTCTCTTATGTTATAAAAGAGAAAATGGAAGCCCAGAGAGGTTGTGAATTGTCCAGGGTCACATAGGTGTTAGGACTGGCATTTGAACCCTGGCCTTCTGACTCCAAATCAGTGTTCCCCATGCTACAACATGGGAAAAGAATATATCCATTACCTACTTCACAGGGTTGTTGCAAATTAAGTACCCTGTAAGATTTACAGTGACATATAAATAAACTATTATAATTAGGTCATGAAGCAGCAATTTTAGAAAAAATTACTTTCACTAGTTTGCAAGATAAACTTGTTGATAGTATTTTAACTCTTTTAGTTGACTAGTATTAAATTCTGCAAATACAAAAGCTCAAAGTAAAAATCAAGAATGAAAAATTTTTATCATTTTGTTTTATACTTGGGTTTTGTGTCATTTAAGAAATTATTTTTAGGTTTGTAAAAGTTTATATGATTATTTTAGTTAGTAGAGAAATTTTTAAAAAAATAAAGAAAAGTAGGTTATATTCACTATCTTCTTGCTGCCCTTACAGCTACCAGATTTTGAGGTAAATGAGAAAGGAGAAGGCAAGAGAACCGTAGGTTTTTACTAGTAAAAGGCATCTTTTAAATTAATAGATACCAATTACTCATAAAAGCCCTATGGGGCTTTATTCTCTTATGAGTTGATAAACAACATCTTTGTCATAAATGTAAGCTATGTATGTTATTTCACAAGTTTTTAAAAGATAATTAATGAAAATGCAAATTTTTTTATATTTATTCAGGATGGTAGTCAATCAAGATTAGGAGGCGAGACTGTGGACATGGACTGTACATTGATTAGTGAAACTGTGCTTTTAAAAATCAAGAAGCAAGAGCAGAAGGGAGAGAAAAGTCCAAGTAAGGTTTGATTGGGGGTGGTGGGGAATGGGATGGGGCAGCATAAAAAAGACAGTTGCATTCATGTTGCTTAATCACAGGACAATAGAATTTGAGCTGAAAGGAACCATAAATCATCATCTCTAGTCAGCATATTTTACAAATGAAGAAAAATTGACCACATCACTATAAACCTTTTTTCTGTTTTCTTTTGGTTTATGTATTCTCTCAGTCATATCCAAAAGAAAATTTTGGGGAGATTTCATCAAAGAAATACGTTTGAACCTAAAATTATTGTATTGCTTGTTGTGAAGTTACTCAAAGCTTTTTGAATAATTCAAAAAGATCTGTAAAACTGACTCAACATGTATTAGAAGCATATGTTTTTTGTGGATTAAAGCAATATAAAATTCCTTTTTTAAAAAGCCTGATAGGGAAGAGAACAAACATTTATTAAGCACCTACTGTGTGAGGTAGAGGCAAAGTGCCCTAACAACGAGTTAATGTCTATGGCCAGATTTAAACTAAAGTCTTCCTCATTCCAGGCCACACGCTCTAGCCACTGTGCCATTTGCAAGTGAGCCCAACATTCTAAGGAAGGTGCTGCATTCCTTTATCTTTCTCCAGTTACATTTTCCTACTTCTCTAGAAAAGAAGAATGGCTAGATTAGAAGTCTCCAAATTCTGTGGTGGAGTTAATTAACTCCTCACCTGAAATATTTTAATCGTTTGGAATGGATGAGATAGGAAGAGTGGTGATCACTACATTTTTCCTTGTACATCACTGCCATTTCAGCAAGTGAGTCATTAAGAGGACAATATGGCCAAAAGTCACTGCTACCATCATCACCATAGCTTCTCTCACTCAAAGGCACCCAAACATCTGAAATTGAAACAGAAGGAGACCTGTACTGCTTGAACCCATATTCATGCCCTACTTTGATATGTTGGTAAGGAACTTAAGGATACCTATTAGTAGAGCTACTGAGCTATTAATAACTTGTTGGAGGGCACAGAAGCTAGATCAGATTTGACGTGATTCCCTATTTCTGTCTTCTCCTTATGGCAGGAAAAACAAGCAACTGGAGTCTTGCTTAGATTCCATGTTCCCTCATGTCTCACATTATCTCCCCAAACCATCTACCTGAGCATGTCGGAATTTGTAATTTATAACATTTGCTTATGTCTACAGCTCCCTATCTCCTGCTAGAGAATAGCCAAGTATGTATGATATCTGATATCTAACTGCCTGGAGCAGAAGGCTCAGTAACTGTTTAAAATTTTTGATTTAAAGGCTGATTATTTAATCAGAGAAGAAGAGAGTTTTCAGAATATATCCGTTCAGATTTTAAATGATCATTTTGGCTGTGTCATGTTAAAATACTACTAGATAACTGTGTAGTTGCAAAAAGGTGAATTCTAGGACTGGTAGATGGAAGCTTCAGGGAGGTAAATTTTTATGTGATATAAGGAAGACCTTTCCAGCGGGAATTGTTCAACAGCCAAAAATAGACATCTTAAGTATTAAGCTGACCATCATTGGAAATGTTTAAACTGTGACTGTAAGAGGTAACATACACAGGAAATTTTTACGTTTGTTTTTTGGGGTTTTGTTTTTTTGGAGACAATCGAGGTTAAGTGACTTGCCCAGGGTCACACGGCTAGTAAGTGTCTGAGTCTGGACCTGAACTCGGGTCCTCTTAACTCCAGGGCCAGTGCTCTATTCACTGCACCACCTAGCTGCCCAGAAATTCTTACATTTTGGTGGAAGATTAACTTTGGTACTCTCTAAGGTCTCTTCTAATAATAAGATTTAATAATTATATTACTTGATAGTGATAATATGAATGCATGTTTAAACAACAGCAATTTTCATGATTTCATGTATCAAACGTATCTTTAGAACAAAAATATGTCCAACTTATTTAAAGTTTGTTGTTGTTCATTCATGTGACTTGGTTTATCCAACTGGGATTTTCCTGGAAAAGACACTGTCATGGTTTGCCATTTCCTTCTCCAGCTCATTTTACACATGAGGAAACTGAGGCAAACAGGCTTAGTTGACTTGCCTAGGGTTACACAGCTAATAAATGTCAGAGGCCAGATTTGAATTCAGGTCTTCCTGACTCCAGGCCTGGATCAAGGGAACGTCGCTTCCCTTGTTCAAAATTAGACCAGGCCTTATTCTCCATCCAGTAGTATATTTTGGTGCCACTTTAGGTAGGATATTAAAGAACATTTTTAACATTAGGCATCTGCCAGGATCTCAGTTGGCCTTGTCTGGAAATTTCACGCATGGTTACTTTTGGCTTTTTTGTTGAATAGGGGCTACCTAAGAAATGTTGTCATGAGTCAACTGTATTTGAATTGGAAATAGAACAATTTGGGCAGTTTTCTTTTCTTCTTTTTTTTTCTTATAAAATGTGACTTCAAAAAATTTTTTATAACTAAACCATGTCTACACTTAAAATAATTTTTTTGAGGATGATAAGCTAATTTGAAGAGAATCTTCTAAATCACTAATAATTAGAGAACTGCAAATTATAACACACTGAGGTACCACCTCACTCCTATCAGATTGGCTAACATATCAGAAAATGAAAATGACAGATACTGGAGGAAATAAGGAAAAGCAGGGACCCTAATGCATTGTTGGTGAAGTTGTAAACTGGTCCAGCCATTTTGGGGGGCAGCTAGGTGGTGCAGTCCATAGAGTGCTGGGCCTTGAAGTCAGGAAGATTCATCTTCCTAAGTTTGAATCTGACAGACACTTAGTAGCTGTGTGACCCTAGGCAAGTCTCTCTCTCTCTTTTTGTTTTTTTGTGAGGCAGCTGGGGTTAAGTGACTTGCCCAGAGTCACAACAGCTAGTAAGTGTTATGTGTCTGAAGCTGTATTTGAACTCAGGTCCTCCTGATTCCAGGGCTGGTGCTCTATCCACTGTGCCACCTAGCAGCCCCCTGGGCAAGTCTCTTAACCCTGTTTGCCTTGGTTCCTTATCTGTAAAATGAGCTGGAGAAGGAAATGACAAACCACTCTAGTATCTTTGCCAAGAAAACCCCAAATGGGGTCACAAAGAGTGGGATATGACTGAAACAGCTGAACAACAGCAACCAGCCATTTTAGAGAATAGTTTGGAAAAAGGCTATAAAACTCTGCATATCTTTGACCTAGCAATATCAATATCACTCTTAGGTCCATACTCTAAAGATATAAAAGGAAAAAGGGACCCATAAGTACAAAAATATTTATGGCAGCTCTTTTTGTGGTGGCAAAGAATTGGAAACTGAGGGGATGCCTGTCAATTGAGGAATGGCTGAACAGGTTGTGATATATGATTGTGATGGAATACTACTGAAATGATGAGCAAGATGGTTTCAGAAAAACCTGGGAAGATTTCTATGAGCTGATGCAAAGTGAAGTGAACAGAACCAGGAGAATGTTGTACACAAGTAACAGCAATATTGTAACACTGATCAACTATGAAAGACTAAGCTACTCTGATCAATGCAGTGACCCACAACAGTTTCAGAGGACTCACAATGAAAAATGCTATCCACCTCCAGAGTGAGAGCTGATGAACTCTGAGTACAGATTGAAACATATTTTCTTTCTCTTTATTTTTCTTTTTTCTTTCTTCTACAACATGGAAATGTGAAAATATGTTTCTTGCCTTCTCACTTGGGTGGGAGAGGGGCAAGAGAGAAGGAGAGAATTTGGAAATAAGATAAAGTTTAACCATCCACATTAAAAAATAAAGGATGAAAAAATTCATGTTACCTCAACTCTGGCAAACAGCTGTACAGCAAATAGCCTTTTTATTCAGTCAGCATGCGTATCTTAAACAGGAGCTGAACAGGGACAATGAACTAGGCCCAGAATTGAGAATTGAAACTGGAATATAGTGCTTTTAATGATTCCAAATTGTTTGCTGATAAAAATTACTGCCATTAATATTAATATTAAATGACTACAAATCATGGAATTATCATTATAATTTCAAGAGAATTAACTTTACAATTAAGCTAGAGGGCAATAGAAAGCTACAAGATGAGCACAGGGGTTTTAGCATGGTATTAGCCGTGCTTTGTGTACAGAAATTGGTATAAAATATGTTATGTTATGTAGCAAGAATTTTAGACAATAGAGAGGGCAGTTTATTTAATATATTGGACCCCCAAGAAAATAAATGAACAGGAGAAAATCTTCTGATACCTTGGAGTGATTTCTGTATGAAAGATCTCTGGGAAAACATGCTAAGAAGACTTGGAGAGAGTATCTAACTTCATGAAAATCTCAAATCTACCAACATGCATTGGGCAAGAGCTAATAGTTTAAAACTTGAATGGGGACTTCTGATGCCAAGATGGTAGCCAACAGTGAGACCCCCACACAAACCCTGGGGCCTACCAGCAGAGAGACCCTGTTTCCATAGCAACTCAGCAGCAGAGTCCCAACCCTGGGGCAGACCAGGAACAAGATCCCTCTTCTAGGACCAGCCACCAGAAAGACTCTTACAATAGCAACCCAGAAGAAAGGCCCCACCCTTGGAGCAGGCCAGCAGCTAAACCCCACACCCAAGTGAGGCCCCACCTTCCCCACCTTCCAGTACAAGCCAGAAGGGTAGTTTACCCTCTAGTGAAAGCAAGCACCTAAGCCCTAAAGCCCAATGAAAGCCAGCAGTAAGACCCTGAGCTTCAGTACAGAAAGCTTGGGACATTGCAGGACCAGAGCCCAAGTCACATAAAAACACCAAGTCATAAAAAAGGCAGAAAAAATGAGCAAAAAAGAAGTTGACTATAGAAGGTTACTATGGTGCCAAGGAGGATCAAGGTATAAACTTAGAAGAAGACAAAGTGTCAAAATAGCTATATGTGAAGCATCAAAGAAAAAAATGTAATTTAGTCTTAGGCCAAAAAAGAATTCCTAAAAGAGCTTTAAAAAGCAAATTAGATAAGTAGAAGAAAATATGGGAAAAGAAATGAGAGTAATGCAAGATAATGGAAAAGAGTCAGTAGTGTGGGAAAAGATAACAAAAAGTTATTGAGGAAAATAACTCCCTAAGAAATAGAATTGGCCAAATGGAAAAAGAAGCTCAAAAACTCAGTGAAAAATATAATTTCTTAAAAATTAGAATTGAGCAAGTAGAAGTTAATGACTATGAGACATCAAGATACAATACAAATAAAATCAAAAAAGTAAAATATGTGGAAAAACAACTGACCTAGAAAATAGATCTAGGAGAGATAATATAAGAATTATTGGACTACCTGGAAGCCATGATCAAAAAAAAAAAGAAAAAAAAAATCCTGAACAATGTCTTTCAAGAAATTATCAAAGAAAATTAGCCTAGTCAACGCTGTGAAGATTCTAAGTATAGGGAAGGTGTCAACCTGCCTTGGTGGAATTTCCCTTTCTGGGAGTTCCCTAACGCAGTGAGATCAGAAGTCCAAACCTTAGCCCTGAAGTGTTAAATAAATTAGTGCTAAATAAATTAGAGCTATTATGGGTGCTATATTTATTGCTGCGATATAGTAGAACCAGAGGGCAAAATAGAAATTGAAAGAATCCACAGATCCCCCCTACCGAAAGAGATCCCAAAATGAAAACTCCCAGGAATATCATGATCAAATTCCAGAGCTTACAGATCAAGGAGAAAGCACTGCAAGCAGCCAAAAAGAAACCATTCAAATATCACGGAGCAACAGTCAAGATTACGTAGGATTTGGCAGCTTCCACATTAAAGAACTGGAGGGCTTAGAATGTGATATACCAGGAGGCAAAGGAGTTAGGATTACAACCAAGAATCAACTACCCAGCAAAATTGAATATAATTTTTCAGGGAAGAAAAGGATATTTAACAAAATAGAGGATTTTCCAGCATTCCTAATGAAAAGACCAGAGCTGAATTAAAAATTTGACCTCCAAAGGTAAGACTTAAGGGAAATATAAAAATGAAACGAAAGAGAAAACCTAAGAAAATCACTAAG